CAAGCTCAGCAGGCCCAGCGGGCCCAGCAGCGCCGAGGACACCCGCAAACCTACTACGTAGGCCCACATCAGCCCATGCACCAGCACCCAATGTCATTGCAGCACCCGGCAAGGACGACAACGACAGTGAGATGAATGTCATGGGCGACGACTCGCCGACATCCTCGGAGCAGGATGGTGAGTTGCCGAAGCAGAGTGACGCGGGTCCGCCGCCAGCTGCAGCTCTGGGCCCGTGCTAAGCTCGCCCTAGCAGCTGAGTGCGCCCTCATGAAGGCACAGGGGCAGGTGGCCGCCAGCGGCGGCAGCGCGACATTTCATATTGTCGCATCGTGTGCCCTTAAGAAGGCACAGGGACAGGTGGCCAGCGGCGGCAGCGCGACATTCCATATTATCGCATCGCCTGTGCGGCGCCCCGCCAGCACTGCGTTGCAACAGCGCCGTTGCAATTTACGTTCTATGCCCGCCAGTCGCGCAGTTCGCCCGTGCCGCGCCCAGAAACGTTGTCCTTCTCCCCGTCTATCTCCCCCCATCCCACCTCCCAGACTGTGCGAGGATCTGTCCTTGCCTCCTGTGGCCCTCGCGGGTTTCGGCCCTTGTTGTTCGGTGCCTTTTCGGTCGTCCGTTCTGGGTCCTGGGTCAGCCCCCCCCCCCCCCCCTCCCCCTCTCGGCCCCCTTCGGGCCCGTCTCGTCGCTCGTGGGGCCTGATGCGTCGGTTCCAGAGACCTGAGGCTAGTCGCCAGCCCGCGTCCTAATACATTTCCCCCCATCCCACCTCCTAAATGTTCGGCGCGTCCTGCACATGGAAAACGGCGAAAGGAAACCTATGCCTCGGGGCCCATCAAGGCCCCTCTCGGCCCCCTCCAGGGCGCGTTGCATTGTTTCGTTTCCCCCCATATCCTAAGACAGGGTTCTTGTTATTCCCCATATCATAAGATGTGGTTATTGTTATTATTTGGGCGCCTCCTACTCCTCCTTCTCCTCCCTCCTCCTCTTTTTCCCCATCTCCTAAGATGGGGTTCTTGTTATTCCCCATATCCTAAGATGGGGTTCTTGTTATTACTTGGGCGCCTCCTACTCATCCTTCTCCCTCCTCCTCCCCCCCCCCCCCCTCCTGTCGGACTTACTCATACCCCCACTTGCTCATACACAGACTTACTCATACTACTCACACCCAGACGTACTCAGACACAGACTCACTCATACCCAGACTTACTCATACACAGTATTTTTCATACTCAGACTTACTCATACCCAGACGTACACACACAGACTTCCTCATACACAGACCTACTCATACCCAGATTTACTCATACGCAAACTTACCCATACACAGACTTACTCATACCCAGCACCCCTAAGGGGAGCCGCCAGGGGTGGTTGCACGGGCTCGTTCGCGGCCATTTTGTGGGGATGTCTCAGGCGGTTTGCTTGTTTCTGGGCCCAACATCCTTCGCTTGGAGAGCAGATTGTGAGGATGTCTCAGGCGGGGCGCTGGTTTCAGCACCCCTAAGGGGAGCCGCCAGGGGTGGTTGCACGGGCTCGTTCGCGGCCATTTTGTGGGGATGTCTCAGGCGGTTTGCTTGTTTCTGGGCCCAACATCCTTCGCTTGGAGAGCAGATTGTGAGGATGTCTCAGGCGGGGCGCTGGTTTCAGCACCCCTAACGGGAGCCGCCAGGGGTGGTTGCACGGGCTCGTTCGCGGCCATTTTGTGGGGATGTCTCAGGCGGTTTGCTTGTTTCTGGGCCCAACATCCTTCGCTTTCGGAGCAGATTTGGAGGATGTCTCGAGCGAGGCGCTCATTTTCACCCCCCAGGTGGGCCAGATTTTGAGGATGTCTCGATCGGTTTGCTTGTTTTGGTGGCCAGGCTCGTGGGCGCAGATTCTTCTCAGGATGCCACAGGAGGCTCCAACAGGCTCCAGGAGGCCCCAGGAGACCACATGAGGTCACAGGAGGCATCAGGAGGCCACAGAAAGACCCAAGAGGCCACAGGATGTCCCAGGAGGCTCCAGGATGCCCCAGGAAGCTCCAGAAGGCTTCAGGAAACCACAGGAGGCCCCAGGAGGCAACAGGAAGCGCCAGGCGGCCTCGGAAGGCAACAGGAGGCACCGAGAGGCCCCAGGAGCAGGAGGCTTCAGAAGACAACAGGAGTGGCTCCAATCCCATGTGTTTTACGTATGCTCTTATCGATTGGGCCTCACCTGGAGCACGATTATTTGATGTTCTACGTATGTTTCTATAGATGGTCCTTCTCCTCTGTACACAATCCTAAATGTTTTACTCAGGTTCCTATGTGTTGGGCCTCTCCTGGGGCACGAGTCCTTGGTGTTTTACGCGTGTTCCTATATATTGCCCTTCTCCTGTGGCTCTAATCCGCAATGTTTCATGCGCGTATGTTGCTATATATTGCGCCTCTCCTGGGGCACGAAACCTTCCTAGGAGGTCCCAGGAGGTCCCAAGAGGCCCCTGGAGACCCCAGGAAGCCCCAGTAGGTTTCAGGAGGCCCCAGGAGGCCCCAGGCTCATGCACAGAGACGCGCTCGTACTACTGAGGCTCATTCACACTCCAATTCATTCGCAGTTAGATTGATGTCCAGACCGTCACAACTGAAGCCCGTTAATATTCGAAAGCTCTTGCGCCTAGACATTCACGGCGGACAGGTCCATGCGAGTAGATGCACATATGGGGAGCTCCACGCAGTGAATAATTACTTGGGCGCCGCCGACTCCTCAGATAACAGCTCCTCCCACTTTCCTTTTCGCCTCCATGACGCAGTATGCTCACGCCAACTCAAATCCATTCCCATTCATAGTCATATCCACTCTCACTCGTACTCGTGTGCATTCTGTGCGGTACATCTTGTTTCCTCCCACCTGGACTTGGTCATGGTCAACTCGTGTGCATTCATTGCGGTGCAGATCGTTTCCTCCCACTTGGGCTAATTCATGGTCAGACATATTCATGCCCAGACTTACTCATGCACAGACTTACGCTGAGACTCACTCATACCTAGACTTACTCAACGCACCGCATATTGTGGGGATGTCTCAGGCGGCTTGCCTGCTGTCTGTCCCAACATCCTTGGCTATCAGAGCAGTTTGTGAGGATGTCTCAGGCGGGGCGCCCCTTAAGGGGAGCCGCCGAGGGGTATTTCACTGTCCCGTTCGCGGCCGTTCTGTGGGATGTCTCAGGTGGTCTCAGCACAGAGGCCCGAAAAGGACGCATGATAGGTTCAGCACAGAGGCCCGAAGGGGACTCATTATAGGTTCAGCACAGAGGTTTGAAGAGGACCCATTATAGGTTCAGCACAGAGGCCCGAAGAGGACCCATTATAGGTCCAGCACAGAGGCCCGAAGAGGACGTATTATAGGTGCAGCACAGAGGCCCGCAATGACCCATTATAGGTTCAGCACAAGGAGGCCCGAAGAGGACCCATTATAGGTCCTGCGCAGAGGCCCGAAGAGGACTTATTATAGGTCCAGCACAGAGGCCCGAAGAGGACCCATTAGGTTCTGCACATGGGGCCCGGAAAGGACCCATTATATGTTCAGCGCAGAGGCCCGGAGAGGACCCATTATAGGTTCAGCACAGAGGCCCGAAAAGGACCCATTATAGGTTCAGCACAGAGGCCCGCAAGGACCCATATCCTTGGCTACCGGGCATATTGTGAGGATGTCTCAGGCGGGGCGCCCCCTAAGGGGAGCCGCCGAGGTGTATTTCACGGTCCCGTTCGCGGCCGTTTTGTGGTGGCGTCTCAGGTGGTCTGCTTGTTTTCAGTCCCAACATCCCTCGCTTGGAGAGCAGATTGTGGGGGCGTCTCAAGCGGGGCGGGGCCGCCGATGGGTATTTCACGGTCCCGTTCGCGGCCGTTTTGTGGGGATGTTTCAGGCGGTTTGCTTGTTTTCAGTCCCAGCATCCTTCGCTTGGAGAGCAGATTGCGAGGATGTCTCAGGCGGGGCGCTGGTCTCAGCACCCCTAAGGGGAGCCGTCGCAGGGGTATGACACGGTCCCGTTCGCGGCCGCTTTGTGGGGATGTCCACGTGTCCTAGGACTACAAATTCTCCTAAGTTTGTCAAGTCTCCCAAGGTGACCAACTCTCCCAAGTCTCCCATGTCGCCCAAGTCTCCCACGTCTCCCAAGGTTCGCGAGCCTCCCAAGTCTCCCGAGTCTCCCAAGTGCCCCATGTCTTCAAGCCTCCCAAGCCTCTCCCAAGGCCCCCAAGTCCCCCACGTCTCCCAAGTCTCCCACGGCCCCCAAGTCTCCCAAGCCACCCACACCTCCCAAGTCGTCACTATCATCCATGAGGAGGAGGAGGGACGAAGAGGACGGGCGCAGATTCAGTCGCATTCAAGCGCTCACTCATACTTACTCACATCGGGGTTTAACCGTCTTCGTCGGACCTGTCGCCCACGTGGGCGCGCTCTTATAGTCGGGCATTCGAAGCCAAACGTTCACAATGGCACAGCATAAAACATGGGATGCACATGTGAGGAGCTCCACGCAGTGAGTCATGAAGATGGGCCGCCCTGCGCCCGCGTGACTGTTGCAGCATTTTGAGACGAATGCCCGCGGCGCCTAGGCGAGAGCCCCATTTTGAAAACCACCCTCATGATCGTGACAACGGGCCGCCCTCCATCCGCGTAGCTGTCGCGGCATTTTGAGACGAGTGTCCGCGGCGCCAGGGCGAGGGCCCATTTTTAGACCACCCTCGCTGAGAGGTTTGGTTTGGGAAAAGTGACATATAGTATATCACTTGAGTTGTTCAGCACATAGTGCACGAACAGCGCCGCCTGGCGCGGGGAGGGGCGGGGGGGGCGGGCAGGGGGAAAAGGTTGGGGGGGGCGGATGCGGCATTGCCCCCTCCACCCTCCCCGACACCTCCTCCGGCAGCCGCGTGATTGGCCCGGGCATCAGCTGCTCAGCGGCGCTTCCGCTAGCTTTGGGTGTCAGCACTTCCAGCCGTTAAGCAACGACTTGCTGTCGTCGCTGACCGCGCTTGCCCATGTCGGACGCGGCCGCGTTGCGGATCAGACTGGGCGCGATCGGGGCGGCGCTTCGGAGCGTCGTCGGGGCCGATCGGCACGAGGCGATGTCGAGGGTTCAGGCCAACGCTGTCGTTGCCATGCTGAACGGCGGGTTGGTAACCATCTCACCCGATGACAAGGCGGCGCTGGCGATTATGGCCAACAATGTGGACAAGTACGCGGGCCACGACATGTCAACGTTGGATCTTCTTGCCAGGGAATCAGCCCCAGGCAACAATCGCAGTGCCCAGCAGAAGCACACGACCTTCGTTGAGTTCCTCACCGAAGATAATTGGTCCAAGCTGCTTCCCGCTGACGGCGAGGTGCCGCCCAGCAACGCTTGCCTGAACATCATCATCCAGCGCGTCGTGCGCCGGGGTTGCTACAGCGCGTGCGAGTTCACGACCAAGCTGATGACGTCGTTGTGGCTTCTCATTTGCAAGCCGTCGGTGGGCAAGATGAGCTGCTTCCAATTGAAAACGCAGCATGGCCACCTCAAGAGGGAATACAAGCGCATTGCAGACAAGTGCCAGAAGCACACCACGTACATAAACACGCTCCCGCCTCTGCCAGATGACCTGGCGCGTTCGCACCCGCGGGTCTACGCCGTGGCATGCGCCGCTCGCGCGGGCGACGGGCCCGCGCGGCGCCCGCTGGACACGGGCAAGCTTCGGGAGATTGACAGCAGGTATCGGTGCAGAGGACTTGGGCCCGATTCGCAGTCAGTGGGCGCCAGGCCGCTGGGCTCGGGCGACGCGGCAAGCAGCCAGCTGGCGACCTTCGGCTCCGGCGGGCAGGGCGACATCAGGCCGATGATTGCCCAGCAGGCCCAGCAGATGCAGCAAATGCAGACAATGGCAATGCACGCCATGTCCCTCACGTGGCAGGAGGGCAATTCGGAGCAGGGGCGGGCGCGGCAGGTGACGAAGGGCCCAGCCTCTTGGATAACCTCGAGCCCTTAGATAACGCCGCTCGGGGCCGCCACAGGAAGCAGCCGGCGCCGGGCCTAAGGGTTGCAGGGCCACCACTGCGTGCCCCTGAACCAGCAGTCGACGTTTCAGCTGTCGCAGCTCCAGCTGCCGCGGCCCCAGCTGCCGCAGCTGCCGCGTGTCCAGCGGCCGCAGCTGCCGCGGCGCCAGCTATCCCCACTGATAGTGCTGGGGCAGTGGCCGCGGCAGCTCCCGCGGATGCCCGCCCCGCCCAGCCAGGGAACTTGACGCGCACCGTGGAGCAGGCAATGAATACTATGCATGCTGAGCGCCAGGAGGAGAAGGCCAAGGCGAAGAGGAATATGGTCATGAAGAAGCCCGCCAAGGCAATTTGCGACGCCGACGCCGACGAGATGGCGGAGTCGGTCGACGACGCAGGTGGTGAGGATGCAGAGGATGGCGAGAACGAGGATATACCCCCTACTCCCAGACCGAAGAGCGCCCCCGCGACCAAGAAGATAACGCCCGCACATGGGAAGAGCGGCGAGGGCGACCGCGGACGCGGTTCCGCGTCCAAGGCGACCCCGCCCAAGGACAAGAAGCCCGACGAGAAAACCGACAAGAAGCCCGGCAAGGACAGGAAGCCCGACAAGGCGTCCGCGCCCAAGAAGCCCGGCAAGAAACCGATCGACATCTCCGACTTGGCGGTCTTGACGAATAAGACGATGAAGGAAACCTCGCGCGAGTGCTTCACTTCGAAGGCCTACCGCTCGGCGGGGAAGAGGGCGAAGGCCGCTGGCAAGTCCCCAGAAGAGATGGAGGTGATTGGCAGGCAGGCTCACGCCGCTGCCGCGGCGCTCTGGGGCAAGCTCATCAAGGGCAGCTGAGCCATCGGTGACGAGCGATCTCGTAAGCGCCGCAGCGCGGGGAGACGTTGCGTCGCCACGCTGGTGCATGCGCATCTGGAGCATGCAAGAAAAATAATCATCCGCTTCCTCCGCATCCCCATATCCTCCTCAGTGGTGCAAGGTTCGGGGTGCGACGTCGCCCGCCTCCCCCGCATCCTCCGTCGCCGTCGTCGCCCGCCCCCCCCTCCTCATCCGCCTCCTCCGCCTCCTCCGCATCCTCCTCTTCCGCCTCCTCCTCGTCCTCATCCGCCCCCTCCTCCTCCGCGACGTCGTCCGCCTCCTCCTCGTCCGCCCCCCCCGCCCCCCCCGCGTCCTCCGCGGCTTGATAATGGTGTGATAATGGCTTGATATTGGTCTGAGAATGGTTTGATTATGGTTTGAGAATGGTCTGATAATGGTCTGATAATGGTCTGCTATGGAATTATCCGGCGGTCTGATAACGTTATCAGCCGATGCATCCTCGTCATCAGACGGGGTCTGATAATGGTCTAATGGTCTGATAATGGTTTGATAATGCACTATCAGGCGGTATGATAACGTTATCAGCCGATGCATCCTCGTTATCAGACGCGGTCTGAGAATGGGCTGATAATGGTATGATAATGGTCTGATACTGGTTATCAGGCGGTCTGATAACGCGTTATCAGGTTGCTCTGGTAACCGCCCAGAGACGGGTCTAGGATGGCCTCTGCAAGGCCATGGGGTGCCCCAGTGGGGGAATGGGCGGGGGGGGGCAAGCCATGTCGGGCCACTCGTGCCCGCCAGCAGCGTCCCCGCCGCTGTTTAGGCTCAAGCGACTTTTCGCTCAGCGGCAGCCACGCTATTAGCCTCTCTCGCAGTGCCATCGGCTCTGCAGGGTGCACTGCCGCAGTCTGCGACGCGGGACGTCGTGGAACGAGGGCGGCCCTGTGGATCTCGAGGCGACGCTCGAGGCCGCCTTGGATGATGGCGGGGTGGCCGCAGAACCCAGCGCCGACGACGCTGGGAAATCGCAGACGACGCCGAGGCCGACGCTGAGGGCAGCCAAGCCGCCGCCGCTGCCGACGCCGAGGCCGCCGCCGAGGCTGTCCCAAACGACGCGTTGTCGAGCGCCCCAGGTCCTCCGACAGACGTGGAACCCGATGCGGGTGGGCCCCGTGGAGGTGGCGAGGATGGGGCCCAGCAATCAGGCGCGGCGGAAGGAGACGACAATTGCGCATCTGCCAAGTCAGCCTGAGGGAGGGTCCCGACGACAGCCTGACGGACATCGGCCTGAGGGCGGTTCCTCTTGCCGTCTTGCCATGCCTCCACAAGTTCCACAAGTGTTGCACCGACGAGACCTGCAGGGTGCTGAGCCAGCCCGTGGCCGCGCTCGAGTGCCCGACCTGCAGGAAGACGCCGCCGGACATTCGGACCATGGAGGAGATGCTGATCTCGGAAGGGCTGGCCCGCAGGGTCGCGGAGGAGCTGCCACGCAGGGCTAAAGGCGGCCCAGACTCGGGCTCGGCAGCTCCAGCTCGACGCGATGTTCGGCGCCGCTGCGGCAGGGACTGCGAAGGTGCATGGGCGACGTTGCGCAGGCCTAATCAACCTCTGGCCCCCCTCTTGAGCTCCCACCGCCCCCCCCCCTCGCGCCACTGGCGCCCCCCATGGAGGGGCGTCACAGATGCCAGACGTCATATTCGTAATGCACCCTGACCTGCGCGAGCTCATTTGGCTCGCGGCTGTCGGGTGCGTTCGGCGGTGGGGGGGTGAGTGGGCCAGCGCAGCGCGGTTGCCATCGCGAGGCGAGCAGCGCCGCGCACGTCGAGGCCGACAGCCCGGTCGAGGCGGCGGCGCCCCCCTCCGCCGCCGAGGCGCCGCCGCCTCCGCCGCCTCCGCCAGGGGACCGCCGCCGCCAACGCGCCGCCGCCCCCTCGGCGGCGAAAGGCAGCGGGGCGCCGCCCCAGGGCGGCGCGGCGGCCCCGGCGCCATCGGCGGCCCCGCCGCCGTCGGCCCCGCCCGCGCCGACCGCGGCGCCGCCGGGCCCGCCGGAGCCATCGGTCGACGCGAGCGCCCCGACAGAGACGGCGGTGGCGTCTCCTGCCGATCCAGTGGCAGCATCAGCCTCCACGACATTCGGTCGCGCCCCGAAGTGCGGCCTCTTCCCTGCGCGGCCGAAGCCGTCGCAGACGCCAGTGGCGATGAATCGCTCTACCTTCCTACGGGATCTCCGCGTGCGCTGCGGGGGCCGCGGCGACGAGGTGGAGGTCATGGACAAGACAAGGATCCGCAACAAGGTGAAGAACCTGTTCAGGCGCGCGCGCTGCTCCAGCAAGCTCACGCAGCTGAGCAACGAGCTGGGCGGATGGCCAACGCCCCAGTTCGCCGCCTTCGACGATGAGAGCAAGAAGAAGTTCTTTAACGACATCAGGAACATCACGAGCCGAAAGGATGTCGTCGCGCAGTTCCACGAGTACATGAAGGGCTTCGAGGAGCACGCCAAGCGGTACGCAGAAGGAGGAGAGTTCTCGCCGCTGAGTGCGCGGGCAGTCCGCGGCTTCGACGCGGATCGGATCGAGCGCTTGTCGCGCCCGTGGGGCATCAAAGACCGCCGCGTCCACGGAAGCACGCGCCGCGTTCCGATATGATCGGCTGGCGCGCCTGGCACGAAGGGGAAGCGCCGTGAGGACGTGGAGGAGAACAGCGGCAAGAGGCAGAAGGTGGATGGCGCTTCCGAGCCCGAGGATTCTAACTTGTCGAGTTCTTCGTCGCGCAGCCGCCGCAAAATGAAGGGCAAGAAGGACAAGAAGGGCAATGAGGACAGGAAGGATAAGGATGCGGCTGGCGGCCCAACGGTTGAAGGGCGGCGAGAAGAACCTGACGGACGCGAGTGCGATATCGGACAAGGTCGGGCTGTGGGACTGCCGGGACGGTCGGTCCCTGCTCGAGAGAAACTGCGCCCGGGGTGCCAGGGGGCTGGCGGTGTCAGGCGCGGCGGGGGGG